GTAATAAGCTTTCTTATAAATACAAACGAAACTCCTTCCTTCGGAAGAATCAAATTTTCACCCTACAGGAGCTAATTGACTCTCAACAGGTGAAGAGTTTTGGACAGACCTTAGATGTATCGTAGCGGGTGGAGAGTGATGCTACTCCACATTGGGTGAAGATTACTCCAGATAATACTGTATTGTTTGGGATTCCAGTTGAGGTGGCACAGCTTAGGGATCATTTGGGTTTAGGTGCAGATGATGAGTTGGGTTTTAATTCGAGTGCAGCTGACAGACATAGTTTGGATATGGTCATTAGTTCACCTCAGGTGGAAGTGTTTGAGGCCATTGGAGGTGCTATCAGGCGCAGAATTGATGATATTGGAGGTTACGAACTCTTCTATTAGATTGAGGTCGTTCGCGGCCATTTGGATGAATTACGTGAGGCTTGATTCCTTAGGCAAGAGGATACGTAGGCAGACTTTATGATGCAGTCGGTTTGGATTAGTTGATTTTGATGGGGGTGAGATTGTTTGGACTCTCGTTCGGGTTCTCGACTTATTGTAGATTGAGTCCATTATCATGAATTAATTTCACGGTGTACTGGACACAACAAGTGAGATATTTGGATGCTTTGGTGTCGGCTTAGTTTTGGAAAAACTTCGTCGAGGTGGAGAATTATGAGCGGATGTGGCCCACCCACTCACGTGGGTAAAAAAATGATCTCCAAACCTCTTGCGTGAAAGCCAACGGATGGACGAGTGCAGAGATAGCGACAGCTTGGCCAAATCAAAACCGCGTGAAAGAGAGTGGATTGTTCAGCGGTTCTTTGGGTCCACCCGCTTTGCCTCTTATAAATACACATTGGTTCCTAGGGTTTAGGTGTGCAGGAGGAGAAAAAGGTGCAAACTTGAGGGGGTACGGCTGCTGCAGAAAAGCAAATGCAAAGGACGGCTAGCAAAGTGCAAGTACGAAAAGCAGAGAGCAGTTGCAAAGAGGGAGAAAAATCAGCGGCTTTCTTTGGCTTCCTGCAAATAGGCTTTTGTGCTTTCGAGAGAGATAATTGTGTGAGGGTTTAGATCGAGTGATTGTAAACCCTAGTTGTATTATCTCCTCTCTAATAGTAGATCTCCCCCTCCTTGCCCCGTGGACGTAGGTAGTTTACCGAACCACGTAAAAATTGGTTTGTTTGTGTTTGTGGCCATTGTAATAGTTTATTAGGGTCCCTCGACAAGTCAGTCCTAGAACTGATGAGAGGAAGAGCCGATATCTCACTTTGTTGAGATATTCGCTTCAGATTCTTGTTTCCTTGGTGAGACGGGAATTCTTATTGCGATCTTTCTCTTATTGTGCACCAGAAACTCTGCCGAAATTTCCGCTGCGCACAACAAAAGACTGCCAAACCCTCTCTCTCTCTCTCTCTTTCTCTCTACACTTCTTCTTCTTCTCCTTCTTCTTTTTCCTCTAACAATAGAAGGATATATATATATATAGAGAAACCAAAATATTATCTCTAGCCTAACTTCCTAATTAGAATAAGATTCAAACTATCAATCATGATGGAACCCAAACTCCTAATCATGATAGTTCCTTAACCTTATCTAATTCTCATGAAGTTATACAAAGAATTAAAAAACTCTATCCTAACTTGGAGTTTGAGTAGATACCCAACAAAAATGATATGTGGACTAATGAGAATAAAAGAGAATACGGTAACATTTGATCCAATCCTCTCCAAAATCTCCCTCAAATTCTCTTAGGGTGTGTTTGGAAACTTAGATTTGGGTCTGGATTTAAAATCCAGGGTATTTCAAATCCAAATCTCTAGTTTGGATTTTGATTTAAACCAAGATTTTGAATCAATTGATTTAACAAAGAAGAATTTGAGAGCCCAAAACCCCTGATTTCAAATTCCAACCCACCCTGTGTCATTTATCAAATCCCGACCCGATCCTCTGTCTCTCAAAAATCGCGATCCTCTCTCTCTCAAAAATCTCTCTCTCTCTCTCCCTCCCCCCCCCGCCGCCTCCCCCCCCCCCCCCCTATATAGTGTTAATGTTGGATTCATGTTATATAACTTGCTTATTTTCTTTTTCCAGGTTTGGGAACTGAAACTCTGTCTTGCATTTGGGTGAGTTCTCTTTTGCTTCTCCCCAAATGTGTTTCTTTTCCCTTTTTTTTTCTTTTTGGACTAATTTTGCATAATTTTGATGGTTCTAATTCTGTGAAATTTTTTTTTGGTTTGGAGGTCGGTGTCACCTGGTAATTGATTTGTTGAACATGTAACAAAACCTGGTCCTTTAGTGTGGTCTTATGTTATTGAGTATTCATTTTGATAAAGTATTTGTTCAAATTTGATTCATATGGTCATTTAAGAGAAATCAGCATACTTTGATATTCGTCTACTAAATGCGAACTATGATCATTCACATATTTGATTTTTGTGATTATCGAATACTCATTTGATGCGCATATGACTATTTCATATTCATGTGAACGACAATATTCATTACATATCACCTTCTAATCTATATTGCTTTCTGATAGATTTGATTCATAAATTTATGTCACTGGAGCCTTTTTGTTTGAATGTCTTATTTAGCAGTGGGTCTGAACAATGAAATAAGTCGGTGTGGAGAAAGACTAGGGCCAGGATCTTCATCTTGTTACTATCTAATGTCATGTACTAAAGATGTAAATGAAGGAGGAAGATGCTGAGGAATTCATACAGCTAGGGCTCGCCATATTACAAGTGTTTGATTTGGTTACTGGCTTCTTTTCCTCAAACTCTTGAACATTTTTTGGTGTTCTGAATGTTTATAGCCCTGTCACACGTGTCAGCCACAATATCGGATATGAGATCTACCTTAATATCAAGAGCCTGTTTTATTTACGAGGGTATATCAACGATATATGTAAAAAAACAACGTAAAGGGTGACATATCAGCCGACAAGAGGATGGCATAATTCCATAGTTTGAGTTTCTTTCATGTGTGGCATTATTGGATATACAAATACCAGCATTCACATACAAAAAAGAAGCACCATCGATAGCACAAGCTTGGTCAAATGTGAATGACTGCACATAATCAAAAGTCATGATATGTTGAATTTGTGGCATGATCACCACAATAGAAGCATAACTGCTCTCTATCGTTCTCCCCTTTGAAGTTACTGTGATTGGGTGTAACTGTGAAGATATCTCATCTGGCAGAAAATATAAATGTATTTTACTTAAAATACTAGAAGTGTCTTATTTATATCTTTTGCCTCTGCTTGAATGGTACTAAATTGAATCGGCTTCTAATATTTCAGGCCCTCGACACATTTAACACCGCCATAGTGTCTCCAATATACTATGTTATGTTCACCACATTAACCATCCTTGCGAGTGTCATAATGTTCAAGGTATCATTCTTCTCAATCTATTAAATTATTTTGAAGCACAAACATGTCAAACAATTAGATAACATGTTATGTTCTGTTTGAGCGCAGTTAAAAATGATAAAAAATGTGCAAAACACGTATAATGTCTTTTTCAAATAACCGAGTAACTAGTGAAATTTTTTTTAACTTGCTATATATATCAGGATTGGGATGACCAAGATGTTGGAAGCATAATCTCTGAAATCTGTGGCTTCATTGTTGTGATTCAGAGACTAAGGACACAAGTGAATTATAACTTGACTCTGGGGATTTTATGATGGGATTAGTTACAATATTAGAAAGAATTTCCAGCTTATATACCTTTGCAATCTATTATCTTCAACTTTTATTCAGGATTTATGTAGATAAATACTTTCTTGTGGATGCTGGGTATACAAATGGGCCGGGGATTTTATGATGCATGATGATATCAAACTACACGGTTGGATGTTTATGGTTAAACAATTGTTGAAAGTTATGCTAGTACCAGAGTATGAACACATTACTTTTTCTGCACTATTGTACTGTCTAAGATTTTAGTAACATTGATTACCGATAATGTGTACGTCTTTCATTTTTCAGTTAAGTGATATTAATTTTCTGTTAACTTTCTATAGGAGGAAGAGTAAAGAGTGAAAGAAGTGGGGCAAAAACTTTCGGAGTGTTCAAAGAACAAGGTGAAATTTAAGCTAATTGTTACTCAATCGTGTAGATTCAAGTTTGGGATATTTATAGCTAATCCTATACGTCTTGAATTCTTTATTGAATTGCATTTGTTCAATTATTGTTATTTTCCATGTTTGATATTAGGTATACTTGTCATTCAGGAATACTAGTGCTTTTTGTGGTTGTGGTTGTGGTATGTATTAGGTATACTTGTCATTTGTTCAGATATAGCTGTACTAGTGCTTTTTGTGGTTGTGGTTGTGGTATGTATTAGGTATACTTGTCATTTGTTCAGATATAGCTGTCACTGCATCTAAATTTGTCATTTGTTCAGATATAGCTGTCACTGCATCTAAATTTTCTTCTCCCCTTGACTCATAACCACCCCCCACATTGATGAATAGGCTTCATGTAGCATTAAAAATTATTTATTTTGTTATTCATTTTATGACCAATTCACAAATCATGATCTTATTTGGATTTGTTTTTGTTTTTGTTTTTTTTTTTAACTTCTTTTCAAATACACATGCACAGGGTGTTATGGAAGACCCAGAAATGTTTAAAGCACAGTTTACCCCCCCTCAAATTCAGAGTATCCCTTTTGCTTATCTATGTTCTCTTTGTTTTGGAACTATCTTTATAAGATTTGCACTCTGAATTAGAGATTGCTGCAAGTTAAGAAAGGATCGAGGTGGAAGGAATGCTGAATATGAGTATCCTCATGCTAATTATATCCAGCATTGAAATACATAAGCTTCTTCAGTTGCTCCTGCATTACTATCTTATATCTGGCCTATTATTTTCTTCAATTGTGTGTAGATAAATTGGATAGTTCTTCAATCCATTTTTGCTATTTCCATTTTATGACCATTTCACAAATCATGATCTTATTTGGATTTGTATCTAAACCAGTTACAAACATCCAGAAACATTTATAGCACAGTTCTTCCCCTCAATTTCAGAAGATTTTTATATTATCTACATTCGCCTATTTTTTTAGAACCATCCTGGTGTAAATGAATAATTTGAAAAGGCGGGACAGAAGTTTTCTTTATTTATTTATTTATTTATTTTACCAGATGAGATCGAAAATAAGCCTGAATCTTGACAGCCACAGCCTCCTCCACCGCCCTGCTCGTTCGCCGGCCGCCATTGCTCACAGCTGTCAGCCGAACAACCGCGGCAGCAGCCTTTGCTAATTCACGAAAAAAAGAACAACCTTAACTAGGTTTTGATCTCGAGAGGTTAGTGGGTGGTTGATACAGTGCTTGGGTGCCATTTTGCATCCAGGAGTCTCATATTCATTGTGTGTTATACTCGCACATGGTAAAATGTTGTATAACTAGTGTAGCTTACGGGCTAATGTAGAGTAGGTTGTTCTTTTAGCTCTGTATTCTTTTTTTCTTTCAGCTCTGTATTCTTTTTTCTTTCAATTTGTTGGAAAGAACAGACATTCTCATTTTTGTTCTCCACTTTGGGTCATTTCTTGTCTGATTTTTTTTATTTTACATGTTCTGTATTTCATAGACTATGGTCTTTGTTTCGACCGTTACTTGTAAAAATCAAGGATCTGAATAGTTTTGACTGTTTAATTCAAGTATCTGAACGTATGTCTGAATGTGTTGAGTTCTGAGATCCGAAGTACATGCTTCCTTTTTTGTTTTCTTAATCTTTTTCTTTTTTATATTACCTGTGTTTTTCTCTAGGTGCTAATTCTGGACTGGAAGTAATTATTTGTGCTCTTCCTTTGGTTCATGTATGATGCTAGACAAGTTATGGTGAGCAATGAATTTGAAAACTTAGCAAATGTAGCTATCATCGTCAAAATTACCTAGATTTGTATTTTTTTGTTACTATTTTACACATCTCCATTGCATTTGATGTAAACAAGATGGGTTAAGAGAATAAATTTTTATCAATTTTAAATTCAAATTCATGTATAATAAAGTACCCAAACATTAGATTTTGAAATCAAAGATTTCAAATCTTTTCATTTAATAAAGATATCCAAACAAAAGATTTCTTAAATCATGGATTTTAAATCCTAAATTTAAAATCCCTTGATTTTAAATCAACTTCTCAAATCCAAATCAAAGTTCCCAAACGCACCCTTAATGTGAAATTGAGATTACAGCAATCAGGAGCCTGTGCTTTCTTAAATTCATTGACAAAAGAGAAGAGTCGATACCAGAGCGATCGTCCAAGGATGCACATACAATAGCAAGCTCCTCTCAATCTTTGGCTCATTATCGATGTCAGTCCCTTAACCCTAGTTCGACATTAATTAGATTGTGTGGTCTTTTTTTGACGATTGACTTGAAATAAAAGTTTCTAGGGTTAATTAGGCTAAACTTCATGATTCCTACATTAAAAACATCTAATTTTCTAATTTTGGAGTAATTTCGGCTTATTAAATTTTACATTGCAATCAAATTATGCTATTTTGGTAATATTTGATTTCCAATCATCTGTACACATAGCTAAGCGTGTTCATATGTTAAAAAATCTATTTATGAAGCTTTTGTGATTAAGCATGGGGAATTGACTGGTTAAAATTTTGTGCTTTTACGATTAAGCTTGGGAGTTGACTAGTTAAATTCTTGTTCAAGGTATAACTTGAAGCTTTGGATATTATATTTAAATTTCATCTTTTTTACTGAATCTATATGGTTTGAAGATTTAATTATGATGTTAAAAACTAATTTTTCAGTTCGGATGTTATTACATACATGGTTGTCCTTCTCTTCACCAACAACATAGCTTGATGACTCACTTGAAGCTCTAGATGAGAAGAGCTTCATTTTCTTTCACCTATAAAAGATAAAGAGGAAGAAGAAGCTGGAGGCCATGAAAAGAAGAAGATGATGATGACAATAATTTAATTGGGGGGTAGGTAGGTAATATAGTAAATACTGCAATAAATGAGAGTAAGAAGCATTCAAGTTGGTCATATATCCAGCACGTGGGAATATTCCAGAGAATATTCTCACGGTTGGTTAACAGAAGGTACCAACTTGCAAAATTTTGCTAACTTAGGGTATTTTTTTACTATGTTTTGTAACTTAGGATATATAACTGTTATAAGAGCGAAACAATAGGGTATATAAGTGTCATTTAGCCTTGTTTTTTCATGTTAGGGGCTGTTTGGTTCGCTATTATAAGGGGTGGAAAACTCAGAAAACCCCTCCACGTCAGATTTTTAGCCCTCCACGTCAGTTTTTTTGTTTCCGTCCATTTCTTTGTGCCACTTTGGTTCGCTCGGATGGAAGAGGGAAAACTCTGCTGAAATCGCCGCCAGCTCAGATTTTTTTCCCTCTTCGGATGGAAGAGGGAAAACTCTGCTGAAATCGCCGCCAGCTCAGATTTTTTTCCCTCTCCGATTTCCTTCCACAACCGAGTGAAATTGATGAAAACTCTGTCACGTCAGATTTTTTCCTTCTTTGCTTTGTTTACAAAAGTTTTCCTTTTTTTCTATGCGAACCAAACACAAGAAAAATAAATACATTGGTTTCTCATCATTTTTTATGTGCGAACCAAAGCAAAACAATCTATTTCTTGGAAAAGTTTGGAAAACTCAAAACTTTTTTATGTGCGAACCAAAGCAAAACAATCTATTTCTTGGAAAAGTTTGGAAAACTCAAAACTTATATTTTTTTACATGGAATCGCATTTCCCTATATCAAGGAAACGAACCAAACAGCCCCTTAAAGAAGATTGAAACAAATAAGGTAAGACATGGAAAGCTGGTTGTTGGGCGCACAAACAAATAAGGTAAGACATTGTAAGCGTGTTATCTGTTATACTTCCTCTCACAAATTCATTTTGTATTTTGAAGTAATCTCTTATAATTCCTCTCCTAGAATTCACTGTGGTTTTTGAAGTGATGGAGTTGTTATGAAAAAAGCTTATGACGGTAATAAAGGTCACGAGATGGGAATTTACTGTGAAGGATGGAGGCAGGGGTAATTTTAAGTGATGTTAACTAAATTGTCATATTTTAATTATTAGATAATATAAGTTGGGCACCTCCTCTTCAATCACAATTAGAACCGACGTGTCTATACTTTTAGAGGATACTTGAATCTTTGAAAGAGTACAAAATATATTGTGCAATTAGTGGTGTATTAATTTAAAGGCCTTTTTTTTGGGAAACCACCTTAAAATAGAGTCATTATATAGAAATCATCTTTTATTTTTAATTGGAAAAATTATTAGATTGTTATATTTTTATTGGCCCCGTGTACCAACTAAGTATATTTTTTTATTCCCGTGACGATATGGTATATTTTGTGCAAAATGGTGATAAGTATTCATATTTTTTAGCTGGAGCAAAATTCCGGTAAGTTCAGTCACATGACCACTCATGTGTGTCCTATGTGGTTAGTAACTTGGTAACTAGTTGAGATCATTTGTATGAGATGGCAAGGTTTTTTTAATTGTTTTATTTACAAATTAGGTCTCAAAAGAGTTACGGTTTAATTCGAGAGTAGTCTTCTTCCTCCTATGATTAAATTGGGTTAGGGCATCCTTAATCTGCGTTTTAGAAATATATTGATCTTCAGTTTCAATTCTCCTTACCTAATTTACTGCTGAAAGAAGAAGAATACTCCCAAATTGAACCCTAACTCTTTGAGCACACGTGATTGAAGTAGCTGAAATTTTGGCTCTGGCCAAAAAATAGGGGTGCTTGTCAGCGTTTTACACAAAATATATCATGTCATTCGAGTAAGAAAATAAATCAGTTGGTATGTGGGGTCAAATAAAACATACCAATCTGGTAATTTTTCCATTTTTAATTTATGAGTAAACAACTTTTAAAGTGGGTTTTTGTTCTAATCAACCACAATAAAAAATAAACTTTAAAAATGCATGTTTATAGTATGTATTTTGTATCATAAGTAGACTTAAACATTAACAAAGTGAGTCGTGTGTCAAAATTGTGAAATTTTAAGGGTTTTTATGATTTTCTAAAAATTTTGACTAGTTGATGGTTAATTGAATAAAATTCAATTTAAAAATGGTTTATATATAAATCAAAAATGATAGATTGTTTTTTTTAAATAATACTTCTATTTGTAAGGTGGTTTCTAAGGAAAAAAACCCCTAATAATTTAAATGAAGCAAAAAAAAAACAAGAAAAGGAAGATAAAACAATGTGAACGCGGGTTTCACTCTTGAGCAAGCTCTTTTCCTACATGCTCCTTTTTCACAAAAAAAAAAGGCATAAAGCATGTGACTTACCCAGCCCTCTTACAATTCAAATTCAAATCCTTTCTCCTTTTAAAACATCACATAATAAAAGATTATGGAGCTCACCCACCTATAGAAGACATTATAAATGTCCGCCACTTGTCAAGTACAGCAAAATGAGATTGCAGTATACTATTTTGACTTATGCCACAATGACAATAAGTCTCTTATTTTTCTCAAAATAAATGTTAAAATATCATTGATACTGGAGCAGAAATAAAAACATGTCAAGTTAGAATGTCAATCTGATTATTTAGCCTGCAAATATGTGTAATAAACATCAAAACATAACTATAATCAATCCACATCAGTGCCGTCATTAATACTATGTTAGTACAATCATAATATTACATCACACAATCTCCAAATTTAAATTATATATTAGGTTAATGGTAACCAGACTCATTATAGTATCACACCATTGCAAAAAGATCTCATAAAGCTCTATTTATTATGAATCAATACCATGTAGTTTCTTTGATCAAAAAAAAAAAAATACCATGTAGTTCTACCTGTTACAAATGGACCCCAGATTGAATTATTTTAACTCTTAAAATCATTAAAATTATTTGAGGAGTAGGTAGGGGTGTCTAAACGGGTCGGCCCGACCCGACCCGACCCGAAAAACCGGGGCTCGGGCCGGAGAGGGCAGGGCCTCGGGTCGGGCCGGTTTTTTTGTTTTTCAATTTTTTTTCTCTTTAAATTTTTTATAATACATAAAAAATTACACAAAATTTTAATAAAAACAATAATATTATTAATCACTTGAAATTACATAAATTACAAATACAAAAAATTATAAAAATTAAAATAATAAAAATAACTTCTTTATTAATAATCAGTAAATCCTTTATAATTATAAATTTATTTTCGAATTCGTCACATCATAACAGATGAGTACATCCCAACTAGGTTGACACATACTTACCTATATCACTATCATTTGTAACTATTTTTAAAATAATTTATTATAAATTTTTAGCTAAGAAATAAAAAATTAAAATTTGATGAATATTATTTACTCTTTATATCTATCTGTTACTCCCAACTCTTCAAATTTATCTTCAATATTAGCCATCCGATCGATTCATTGCGTTCTTTTCTCGTACCTCCACCAATCTTGTGAGCACATCACTGCATGTACAGTATACGAATCTAACGATGTCCTGTAATCGTCGATCAAACGTCTGGCTGTGCTGAAGGCGGATTCCGAATTGCTACCATGGAAACCTACATTATTAGTAAATCACGAACCATGATGAAAAGTATAGGATATGAAACTGTTCCATATACTTTCCACAGTTACAAAATATCTAAACTATTATTTTGACATTTAACTAAAGATGCAGTTAAATATTGATCAATTTC